TTGCGGGCTTGATCCCCAGTGTGGGGCGTGCAGGAGGCAGCCGATCAATGATTTTTCTCTCATCATTGATGTTTCTAGCTCTCTCCCTCTCTCCCTGCCTCTCTGAAATCAATAAAAATCTATTTTAAAAAAGAAGGTGGGGGAGGAATCCCCCCCCCACCGCCGGCCATGCCCTCCAGCTTTTATCTGATGGTGCTGGAGACCATTAAGCTTCCGGGGAGTCCTGGCCTACCCAAGTCAGACACCACCTCCCTCCTGGGGTGCTATCTACTCTAGGGGCAGCTTCCACCTACCGTCCAGATCCGCCCTCTTCACCTCAGCATGAGATGGGCATGGCCGGACCAAACAGGACCAGAGAGAAAGAATTCCCTTGTCACGTGTGGGTTCCTCTGCCTCTGGGAGCAGTGGGCCTGCCTGCTCCTTTTGAGACCCAAGCTGGGCTGGCCCTTCCGGTGCCACTTCGTCCCCAGAGCAGAGCTGGGCTTTCTGGCCTTTGTGAGTCAGGCGTAGCCTATGGGACGTGGGGGAGAAGCCGGCTGGCGTGGCTCAGTGGTTGAGCATCGAGGTTCAATTCCCAGTCAGGGCACATGCTCGGCTTGCGGGCTTGATCCCCAGTGTGGGGCGTGCAGGAGGCAGCCGATCAATGATTTTTCTCTCATCATTGATGTTTCTAGCTCTCTCCCTCTCTCCCTGCCTCTCTGAAATCAATAAAAATCTATTTTAAAAAAGAAGGTGGGGGAGGAATCCCCCCCCCACCGCCGGCCATGCCCTCCAGCTTTTATCTGATGGTGCTGGAGACCATTAAGCTTCCGGGGAGTCCTGGCCTACCCAAGTCAGACACCACCTCCCTCCTGGGGTGCTATCTACTCTTCCATCCACAAACCCTTCCTTCCATCCCATAAGCCCTTCCTTCCATCCACACCCCCCTCCTTCCATGACCAAACAGGACCAGAGAGAAAGAATTCCCTTGTCACGTGTGGGTTCCTCTGCCTCTGGGAGCAGTGGGCCTGCCTGCTCCTTTTGAGACCCAAGCTGGGCTGGCCCTTCCGGTGCCACTTCGTCCCCAGAGCAGAGCTGGGCTTTCTGGCCTTTGTGAGTCAGGCGTAGCCTATGGGACGTGGGGGAGAAGCCGGCTGGCGTGGCTCAGTGGTTGAGCATCGAGGTTCAATTCCCAGTCAGGGCACATGCTCGGCTTGCGGGCTTGATCCCCAGTGTGGGGCGTACAGGAGGCAGCCGATCAATGATTTTCTCTCATCATTGATGTTTCTAGCTCTCTCCCTCTCTCCCTGCCTCTCTGAAATCAATAAAAATCTATTTTAAAAAAGAAGGTGGGGGAGGAATCCCCCCCCCACCGCCGGCCATGCCCTCCAGCTTTTATCTGATGGTGCTGGAGACCATTAAGCTTCCGGGGAGTCCTGGCCTACCCAAGTCAGACACCACCTCCCTCCTGGGGTGCTATCTACTCTTCCATCCACAAACCCTTCCTTCCATCCCATAAGCCCTTCCTTCCATCCACACCCCCCTCCTTCCATCCCATAAGCTCTTCCTTCCATCCACA